TATATATAAACACGGTACAGACCATTGCCGGTTATTATGAATAGTCTCTGAAAAGGACGAGCAAGAAAATCATGCATGCTTCTAGTGTTGGTTTTTCTCTCAGAGAGACCGTGAACTAAGTGAGAGTGGATACACCGGGCTGTGTTCATTATTCCTCGCATTGAGCACAGAGTGGACGGACTCTTTAGTCTTGACAAGACAGCACTCCAAACACACAGAAAGATGGGGACAGAGGAGATACTTTTGACCATCGGGAATGAAGGAAGATTTCAGGTGAGTCATTCCTGTTGCTTTAATTACACAAATTACTATAATGTCTTGTGTTTGCTCCGTGTTCCTGATTTTGGAAGTTTTGGACACAGCTGTCACTGTTGTTTCATTTATGCCCAAAATTATACGACAGTTTGTGTCCAAGTTCCATAGAATTTGTTTCATTATAAATTATGATACTAAATCCCATTTTGCACTGGAATTCGGTACATCCAAAAATATTAACATTAAAACCGGGAAAAAATTTAGTACAATCTAAGACTAAGAGTCTACGTAACAAGAGGGGCCACTCCTCTCTTAGAGCCAATTAAAAAAGTGTCCTCAAAATTCGGTGGCGCCCTCTTCGCAAATGCGCACCCTTTGCGAACGGAGTTACCCTACTTGTGTTTTAAAAAATCAAAGTGAAACTAGCAAGTTTTTGAATAAATTTCGGAAGAACGCTTATTTTAAAATGGTTACGCTGACAAAAAACCGTTTCCGGGAGAAAGGGTGATTGTTTTCTTCGTTTATTTTGACTTTAGAATGAAAGGCGAGAGGTCATTAACATTTTCAAAAACCCCTAAAACTCCGCACTGAACGAACCCGAACTGCTGATCAGCGCACGCAAGGAGGTGCTATTCATATTCTTCTTCTGGAAAAACGAAAGAGCTTCAAAACAGACTGCAGCGCCATCTGAAAAAAGAGCGAACTTCCGGTGGACACTTTTTTGGCTGAGTGGACCATCTTATGTACTATCTTTGGTACAATGCAGCATAGGCTAGCGTTCAGTGTAATAAGTGCCATGCATTCCAAAAAAATTTTTTTACAGTGCCTCACGATAGGATGGGGAAGAGAGAGACCGAGAGAGAGAGAGAGAGAGAGAGAGAGAGAGAGAGAGAGAGAG